TTATTCTAACGATTTTTGTGTGTAAAATTGTTTGCCAACACCAAAACTACGGCTCGCTCCGGGCTTGCCAAAATTTTAAAATATTTCGGGATATAATCAAAGTGTGATCCGAATTTAGCAAGGAGGCCGTACACTAATCCAAAATGTTTGAAATTAACCATTCACACAATAATATTTCTCTTTATAATTCAAATAAAAAGTAATTTATTTGAAATTTGATGGAAATCATTACACGACTTTTCCATGCCGTTTTGTGGCTTGTCTTTCAAAAATCAAATTACCGATTTTATAGAAACTCCAACGCACGTGTATAGTCCAAAAATAAAAATATAAACACCACTAAATATTAATAAAATATTAGATTTTTTAAACAACTAATGTATACGAACTGCAGCTGAATATTTTCTGTCAAGTCGATTTTACATTACTTGACGTCACAGTCTTCCTTAGCAACGAATGAAGAGGCCACCGTCGTGTCTACGAACCGTGGTTCAGTGGTGCCCCTCTGATAAAAAAAAAGTTGCCTTGCCTGGATACCATCTGCCACATAATCCGATTCTTTGAATATAAGAAGTTTCTTCTCGGTGAACAGGGTGCGAAAACAATGTTAATTTGTGGAAAATGGAGTCAAAATTGTTATACTCTACATTAAAAAAATAGGTATTAATTTGATGATTTGAAATTATGTTTACAGAAGAATATTAATAAAAAATTATAACTTTGCTACATTTTACATAATTAATATACAGAACCGGGGGACCGAGCGTCTTCGACGCTTCAAATTTTGAGAAGATTTCAAAAGTTACACAAGGCGCTTAGCGCCGCGTGTATCATTTGAATAGTAAATTTTTGCAAATTAAAAGTTTAAAAAGTTTGAAATTGTCATGTTGATTCATCGAGAAAATTCATAATTGGTTGCTTCTTGATTGAAAAGTGTGTTGAAAACAACGGTAATTTGACAGACACACAGACATTGAAACTTTAATATAGTAGGCCGTAATTTGTAATCTTTGACATCTAGCCGATATCTTCCATTTAAATTTTCGATCGAATTCTATATCTCGGGAACCACAAAACTAGGTATCATGATTTTGGTGTCATTTTGCTTCTCTAAGCTTTTCTATCTCGAGATCGCGGCACGGGCAGACAGACATTGGCACTTTAATATAGTGGGATAGTTTAGAGGTAAATACTTTTTCTGTTACCATCCCTAAACAGTATCCAACACGGAGGATCTCCTAATTGTAATAAAATATTCTACTTACATAACGTTGTACCATAATTTTAATTTGTAATTCCTTAATTATCTGTAGTATATGAAGTGTGTTTGCAAAATTATTAAATGGGTTGATAAATAAAACACAATTTAAATGTTTGTTCCTAAATATATTTGATACAAATTTTCTTAAATAAAAAAGTTAGTTAAGGGTCTCAAATTACGATTTACAAATTAAATAAAATCTTAAATTTTTGGCATTATGTAAATTCATGAATGTTAAAAAGACAGTTTAATAGTAATTTTAATCCTTAAAAATGTTTACATTCAAATAATTTGCTCTTTCAAAAGTGCCCACCATAATGTACTCAAATCTATATAATGATTGGATTTCAGTCACGATATCAATATAATATAAATCTTATCCAGTGAGTATTACAGATCTGGGCCTGAAATTATTAAAGTATAACATAAATTAGCTGTAATACATCACTACTTACTTTTCAATAAGTTTTTCTATAGTTTCAGTCACTTTACCACCTCTTCTTTTTAGCCCTTCTTTTGGGTCCCTCGCTTTAATTGGTCCTTATTTACCCATTTATCAATTTTAATCATTAATTATATCATTTAAAACACCATAAATATAAAAAAGGCACATCATCCACATGATAGTGACGTTTAATATTGACCTCACGTTTCAGTAGTGCCATCTGGCGGCCACACTTCACCTGTTACTCTTCCATGGTGGAGAAAATGTGTAGTTGCCAAGTTATAGATGATAACGGTTTTTGTTTAATTTGTTATGATATGGCAAAATTATGGCAACCCTGTAGAACTGACAGGGTCAATGACATAGATAGTTATATAGATTAATCATCCATGTTTTTCAAAATGACTATAAGCTTATGCCTTGAAGTAAAAATGTAGGTAATTATTTTTGTTACTATATTCAAAGGCTGAAAATTGGTTTGTACACATTTTTACTAAACCCATTCTGATTAATGAGCACTTGTGAGGCAATATGGCCACCCGCTTTGAGCAATCTATACAACTATATATGTATTTTATATAAAAAATTCACACTATATATTATATCATAGTAAATTTACTAGAGTTAAATAATGCTTAGTTGCAATTCCTAGAATGGATATCATTGATCTTACACCTTTTTGCTATATCTTTTGTTTTACCTACCTTATAAATAGGGGTGACACCATTGTCATATACTCAGACAGTCAAGCGACGTTAAAAGCACTCAGTTCCATGCAGGTACACTCAAAGCTTGTGTGGGACTGTTTGGAAGCCCTAACAGAGCTGGGTAGTCAAAACAGACTAACCTTAGCCTGGGTACCAGGCCACAGGGGACACAAAGGCAATGAAGAGGCTGATTTACTAGCCCGAGAAGGAGCTTCAAATGCTCTTATTGGCCCAGAACCCTTCTGTGGTGTAACAAAAACAACTATCAGAACATGCACAAAGCAGTGGATATTTAAAAAATCTCAGGAGTGGTGGGAAAACTCACCAGGACAGAGACAGGCCAAAAAGTTCTTAAAGGGACCATCGTCTAAACTCACCGAGCATCTACTAAGCCTTAATAGGAAAAATACTAGAATACTAGTAGGTCTATTAACAGGGCATTGTAGGCTTAACAAACATATGTTCAATATCGGTCTGACAGAAGAGGCCTTGTGCCGATTCTGTCAAGAAGAAGAGGAAACGGCAGAACACGTATTGTGCTACTGCGAAGGTCTAGTAAGACTGAGATTCCTTACACTTGAAGAAGAAAAACCAAGGGCAACTAGCTATACCGGAGAACTACTTCCCAGTCTATGGAGTCTACTACAAAAGACCGCATTAGACAGGGTACTCTAAACAATGATTAAAGGATATCCACAATAGATCTGAAAAGGTCGAGGTGGGGGAGGCCACATGGCCCATAGTCCTAATTAAATCTAATCTAATCTAGGGGTGACACAAATTTAAATAGTTAGTTCATAACAACTCACCTTCTATGAACATATTATACTTTTTATTAATAAAATATATTTTTTTAAAAAACTATTAGTGTTATTCAAGATATAACATGTATCATTGACACTGTCAATGACAACGGGCCCACAGGAGTGCATTTAGAAACCTCGCACGGCGCGTCTGACCACATACATTAGAATAGGGTCCAGACGCGCCGTGCGAGGATCCTAAATGCACTCCAGGGTTGCCATATCCAAACTGTCAGTTTCCACTTGTCAGCATTTTGACAGGTCATTGGAATGCCTAATTTCGTTTACCTTATCGATGATTTAGTGTTAAGTAACATTTTACTAATATTTCACAATTTAACTTCAAAGGTTTAAAGCTCTCTGTTATTTTATACATGAAATACACTTTGCACAAAAATTAGCGTATCACTATTAAAATAGACAAAAAGTTTTTCTTTACTTGATTTTTCAATATATTTAAGTATTGGGATATCATGTATATTAGTTTTGGATACTTACATGCAAAAAAAGATGAGTTTTTATGTGTAAATGTTTTTGTAAAATAAATACTAATACTTTGAAATTGCAACCAACTTTCGCGATCAGTTGCTTTCAATGTTTAGTAAATTTAACTTGGTTTTTGTGGTATTTAATTTTGAAAATTATTGAAATGAATAATCCTAACCACCAGAGAAAAAATTTGGGACATGACGAAGTGGTTAGAATCATTACATTACTTGAAGAAGGACGTAGTCAACGTTACATTGCAAATGCTTTTGATGTTCAACAATCAACCATTTCCAGGGTAGCTGCCCGGTTAAGAGAAACAGGGCAATACGACAGAAGGCCTGGCCAAGGTCGTCCAAGGGTTACCACAGCAGTGGACACCCGATTTTTAACATTAACCGCTCTTCGAATAAGACACTGTACAGCACGAATGCTCCAAAACGAACTAGCCGTTGCCCGCAACACAGGAATTTCTGTGCAAGCAATAGGAAATCGTCTTCTGGAAGGAGGAATTAGAGCCAGGGTGGCCGACTTGTATCCACGCCTTACCAGGGAGCATCGTGTTGCACGGTTGGAGTTTGCCAGAAATTATGTGAATTGGGATATAGATGATTGGTCTAATGTAATGTAAATTTAGATTCAGCCTGTTTTCATCTGATCGACGAATTCCAGTCTACAGGCGTGATGGCAAACGATATTTTCAGTGTAACATTAGAGAAACGGAATCTTTTGGTTGGTGGCTCTGTTATGATGTGGGGAGGAATTTCTTTTGCGGTTCGTACAGAGTTAGTACCAGTTTTGGGAGGATATTTATCAGCTGCAAGATATGTAACGCTCGCCCGCACACAGCTTTGATTGTTTGTCAGTCCTTTAACGAAGTTGGTATTGCCACATTGGATTGGCCAGCCCTAAGTTCTGATTTAAATCCAATAGAGCATGTCTGGAACAATTTATCACGACAAGTACGAAATCGACCAATTGTTCCAAACACCTTAAATCAACTTCAAAATGACCAAACAACAAAAACGCAAATTCCTTGTGAAGGAAATGCGTATCTGGCAAGTTATAGGTAATTTACTTTATCTGAAATCAGTTATGGAGAAATTGTTACTATAGAAACGCTTGCCATGGTACTAAACGGAAACCCAAATTTTGTTATAATTTAATATTACAAAACAAGTCATTTGTAAATGTTGATAGGAATTAAACAGAATGTCCAAGTTAGATTTTAATAATTAATACATTTAAAGTAAACAAAATTGATTTTTCATGTATATATAAAAATATTTCGATTACAGATCAGCTGCGTAAATAGACCGGCCCACGACCTGGGATTAAAAAATTACTCAATGTCTTATATCCAGACGGATGCAGCCATAACGTTCGGAAATTCAGGTGGACCGTTGGTTAATTTGGACGGGAACGTAATAGGAATTAACAATCTCCGGTTAACGTCCGGGATATCCTTCGCAATCCCCGTAGGTGAGTGTTAATTACGCAATAATTGGATTACACCTTCATAATTTTCGATTAAGCGTAATTGGAATTTATTCACCTTTTCGGCGCTTGGTATTTTAGTAACTTCTTTATTAATAATAATGCAATTTTTTCCATTTAGATAATATCGAAAGCCACATAAACTTAGGTTATAGTAATTTCTTATTTTTCTTATAGAATACGCTAAGAGGTTCTTAGAAAATACGAAATACAAAGTGAAGGGAATGCGAAGTGTCGGTCCGATGGGAAAATCATTGTTCGGTATTACCACAATTTCTATTACACCAGAAGTTGTCAAAGAACTCCAACGAAACAACAATCAAGTACCGAATGATATTAAAAAAGGACTTCTTATTTGGAAAATTGTTCCGGGAACAGCTGGCGCAAAGTAAGAATATTTATCCTAACAAAAGGTGCTTTCACATTTATGGATTAATCAATCTATAAATTTGTTTTCGCTTATCCTCTGGTATAATTATCACTATGTAGGGTATTTAAAGATTGGGCGATCTCTTTTGCCAATTATACTTACTACTTATTTAAATACAATTTATGAACATTTTATCATAAATGTAAACAACAATAATTAACTACAACAAAAAATTGATTAACTATTGTTAACAAATCAATCAACAAAAATAGATTAACTATTATTACAAACTAAAAAGTACATAACATTTTTTAGAACAATAAATAATTAGCAACAACTTTTAATAAATTCTGTTTTATTTGAGCACATTAGTCTAATATAAAAAGTAATGAAGCACTCTTAAAGACTGACCATCCTGCAGTATTTTTGATTGCATCAATATAAACCTTTGATTTCAAAACTGCAGTAGTTGAAGATTCATGTCGAGTGCTATTAGTCTAGTTAATGAGTGCTTTTTGAATCAACCTCTTTTCTCTGCCTCCGAAAAATATGAATAAGATGTCATTCGTTTCGGAATAGCGTGTAGATGATTTTTGAAAAAATTCAAGAGCCGCTTGCAAAAATTGCAACAATTAACTCAAAAAAATAGAATGTTTGGTTTTTTGAAAATATCTCAAAAACTATTTAACATTTTTCAAATTTGAGAAGAGATTCAAAAAGAGGGTTGAAAATGCGGCCGAAAACGGATACTCTGGTTTGCGTAAGCTCCGCCCACTGTGGACCTTTAACGAATACATATTATTTTAATATGAAAATTACGAATTGAAAAAATTTAGACATATACTATACTCTGTTTTTAAACTAAGAGGAGCGAATGGAAAAGACGCATTTACACAGGGAAAAGCAACTAGATTTGTTACTAAGAGCGAGTTTCGAAATATAGTCGTGTTCAAAATTTATGAAATAATTATCTTTTTCCTACGACCACTTAGGAAAGTGACACATATCACACTATATAGACCTATGGAAAGTGCCCTATATCACACGCGTATGAATAAGAATTTACTTTCCACCCAAGTGAGAATATGCTACTTTCCGCAGTAGCTGTCAGAAAATGTCAAACACATAATTTCTATTTTGATCTATGTAATGTCCATATTAATACTAAAATCGATATGATTGTTAAATTATTGTAAATTAGATCCTAGATATTTATCTTTAACAATTATTTTTAAAATAATTTTAAAATAACTAAGATATATTTGCTTTTTATTCTGGTTAAACACATAAGCGATTAGATCAATCAATTACCGTAAGGCCTGTTAGCTCAGTTGGTTAGAGCATCAACTTTGCAATTTGAGACCGTCCAACGACCGCGATCGAATCCTGGCTGTGCCAGATTTTTTTTTTATTTTTTTTTTTTATTTTTTTTTTAATTTTTTTTTATTTGTTTAGAAATTATGAAAATTTAATAAATTATTGTTGATTATTTTTTTAAATACATTTTAATTATTATAATAATCTGGTTTTACATTTTTTGATGAAATTATTTTGTGGTCGTAGGAAAAATATTGTACATCACTTGTGTGAAAAGTGATTTTCCACACTCGTGTGATAGTCGCACTCGGCTTACGCCTCGTGCGACAATATTTCCCACTCGTGTGAAAAATGTCACTTTCCACACTCGTAATGTAATATACTATATCGGCCTTAGTCGGCGAACGGCCAATGAGCGGTTAAGAAACGAATAAATGTCATAGAAGTAATTTTTTAATTGGTCCCAGACAACGGTCGCAAATTTCACATTATTGTGATCTGAAATGTGTGTCTAAAACGAAATGTCACTGTCAAATTAAAGTCAATATGGTTGTTGATTGATGTCAGAAATACTTTTTTCTTGCTTTTGAAATCGACTTTTTGAGAATAACTATGATCTTTTTAAAATGGATATTAAATATTTAAGAAAATTGTTAATGGAATATCAAGATGTAGCCAGGTTAGTATAAAATATCTGTTTACATTTTTAAGGATAATTTGTTATAGGTATAAAAAGTAAAAGTTAATCAGTGAATGACAAGTGGATCACACAGTAACTGGTATCTCTTCTATGAGTAACGTGGATATTATGGCTTATTTAGTGTTAACCCATGGTTAATGCGCTAGAGGGCAAATAAAGGCATTCAAAAGTTTACAGGCGTATGAGTCAGAATTTGTTTTGAAAACTGGAACCAACATTTTCATAACACTACATGTCAACATATATTTTTTAAAGTGAACTATTCATACATACCTATGTATTAATTTTAAGTATTTTTAAAATATTTTTTGTGAAAGTAATGTTAACTCATTGTGCCAAATTAAGATTATCCTTAAAGTAGTAGATGGTGTTTTAAATGTTATAACAATTTTGTAAATAGTTTTATTCTATTCTAATAAATAAAATTTGCTTAAATATTTAATTACATTTTAATCATTTCGGTTAGAAATTCATCAATTTTTAGTTTTAAAAAATCATTAATAAAATTATTTTTTTCTAAAATTCATCTCTTCATGGTAATCTCCCATCTTTTTACTTTCAAAAACCAATAATGCATTTTCTACAAAACCTTCAGAATCAGCATGTAAAATAATAAGGTCTCTTCCCTTTCTTGTAAGGCTTTTCAGGAATTGCTACCTTTAATAGTACTCAGTGTAGAAGGATCCATAATTGTAGATTTTCAATACAATTGCTTACTGAAGAACTATTATTTACGAAATAAAGTAAAAAACTAAGTAATGGATGAGATATCAAATTATAAAATGACAGAACTGTCAACAATATCAATTATTAGCTGATGTTCATGCTAAAAAGTAATGTGTGAAACTGACTGTAATCTGACCGATCAGAAGGCTACAGAATTGCCAAATCGCTCCTCTTAGTTTAAAAACAGAGTATAGAAAGATAAATTAACAATAATTTGCGGTCAAAAAATTTTTATCGCGATTTTTCTATTAATTATGCTTTAGTTTTAATTAACAATTTTTTCCTAGTTGAACATTGCAAGTGCGATAATTTTTAAATAACATATCTGAGATTTTTTTCTTTTTTGGAGCAATTTCTGAATGGTCTCAAAAGAGGTTCCCATTGGAAAAATTTAAAAATTATTTTTTTCTTTGTTATTAACAATTTACGTAGGATAAAAATTAAAAATCTTGATTAATCATCGAAAAAAAAAAATGTTTATTTATATTACTATATATATTTATATTATCATCAGAAGCCACATTAAAATGATTTTTAAAATTTTTAATTACCTATTTTTTAAAAAATTATAAAAAAACGCGTTGTTTATAAAATAATAAAAAAAAATTTTTTTTGGAACATTCTTAGATGCTAATTATGATCTAAAAAAAAAACGTTCCTTGAAAAAATTGTTATTGCTTAAAAACGGTTTTGTTAATTAACAATTTTTTTTCCACTTGCAATTAATATTAAGGAACCATTTTTTTAACGCCGTGGCTAGCCACACGTTAAAAATCATGGTAGTGACGTCATGGATGTGACGTCACGGAATTCGCAGTATGACAGTTGTCTTTAGGTTAGTTTTCTAGTTATCAATCAATTTTGAATTTGGCTTATTTTGTTTGGGTAGAGGTCTACTAATGAGCATAATAAACGATATAGAACTCGAATTAAATTGTGGAATTGCATATTTTAAAGAAAAGAAAGTGGAAGAATAAGACAACCTTCTCTAATAATACACAATAACATAGTTTCTAGCTCTTGAGATACGTTTTCTTTTTGTTAACACATAATAAACTCCTTATGTAAGTAAGCTGTATTAAATCAAATGCCCTATTTACAAATACGAAATATTGGAAAATATCTGTTTAATGTAATATTAATATTTTATTAATCTCATTTACAAAAATTACAAATAATTCACTGTTGATGATTCTCCTAGTCATGGTATGATTTGATTTTAAAATTGCTTGTTATGTACTGGTTTTTTTAAATATACCTGCCACAGTAGTAGAAAAATCTCAACTCACATACATATTAAAAGGAGATCGTTCAAATACTAATGCTCAAAATTTTAAAATTGAATAATTTAAAATTTTATCCCATACTAAGTTTTTACTTTGATTATTGGTTGAGACAAAGCAGTTTTTTTAGGAGTAGTTTAGTTTGCAGTACATCTCAGTCTTAGCTGACTATTCCAAATTTTGTCTCGGGTACTTATTTTACTTTATTTGTTCTACTTGTGATGAAGAAAACAACTTAATTTCATAGATTTATCCAGTTAGCTCATATTCCAGATTTGTAATGAAATAATAGAAGGTAACAAAGATAACTGAAGGTATATATTTATCTCAACCTTCTAGGTTTAGAACAAAAGATAAGTAAATATTAATAGCACATTCAGAAAAGATTAATATAATGTAAATGTAGCCCTGCAGATCCTAGTCCATGATTTGGCTTGATTGAAATTATTAGTAATCATCTACAATCTTGCCAGTACTACAGACTTCTCTGATAAACAGTCGGTTTGGTTTTTACTTTCGACGATTTGGCAACTTAACGTTAACATAATAAGTAGGTTTCTATAAAGCCTGACATCAAACCTATTATTGTATTTACACTTCAAACTAGGTTTACGTTAAAACTTTTAAGTAAATGTGCAGGTTGTCCTATCTTACCAGTAACTAATCTTTAAGATAAGACAAAAAAATATGATGTGCCCAACACATACATGACTTTCCTGTAAAGTTATTAAAAATATTTTGAGTACGGTCCATCTAATCAAAAACTGTTCAGAATATGAATTAAAAGATATTTTCATTGCCAATTAAAAAGGGGAACTTTACATTAAAATACAAAAACTTGTAATGAAAAAATAGATTTATAAAATATAGAACTAAATTAAGAAGACTTTTATTAAAGAAGCAAAGAAAAATACTTTCAAAATAAAATATATAAATAAAAATACCTCTAAATCTTGCATAAACAAAGAAAAAATACTTATGGTAAAAATATT